AGACACCCAGGCAGACGTGCCCTCAACCTAATAGCTTCGGGTGCAACTAGCATTCAAAGACTTGATGGTTTATGGGATTCTGCAATTCACACCAAGTATCACATTTCGCTATGTTTTTCATCAATGCGAGAGCCGAGATATTTGTTATTGAGAGTCATTTAGTTTTTTTTGTGAGATGTAGCACATGAGTGCTCTCTCTTTGTTTAAGTTCCTTGTCGCAATTTGCGCTAGGGTTTATTGTTTTGCAGGGGGAATGGCACCCGCCACCCCCAGAGGGGCCCCAGGTGTACTTCCGGCTAGGGCAATAGGAGGGAGCCGACGGCCCGCCTTCTGCTTTCCCAACGGTAATATGACAAGTTCGCGGGTCGTTCTGCAATGCAGGGGCATCGGCAATGATCCTTCCGCAGGTTCACCTACTGAAACCTTGTTACAACTTCTCCTTCCTCTAAATGATAAGGTTCAGTGGACTTCTTACAACGTCGCCGACAACGAACAACCCACGTCGCCGTGATCTGAACACTTCACCGGACCATTCGATCGGTAAGAGCGACGGGCAGTGTGTACAAAGGGCAGGGACGTAGTCAACGCGAGCTAATGACTCGCGCTTACTAGGAATTCCTCGTTGAAGACCAACAATTGCAATCATCTATCCCCATCACGATGAAATTTCAAAGATTACCCGGGCCTGTCGGCCAAGACTATAGACTCGTTGAATACATCAGTGTACCGCACGTGTGGCCCAAAACATCTAAAGGCATAACAGACCTGTTATTGCCTCAAACTTCCATGGCTTAAAGGGCCATAGTCCCTCTAAGAAGCTAGCTGTGGAGGGTCAACTCCACATAGCTAGTTGGTAGGCTGAGGTCTCGTTTGTTAACGGAATTAACCAGACAAATCGCTCCACCAACTAAGAACGGTCATGCACCACCACCCATAGAATCAAGAAAGAGCTCTCAGTCTGTCAATCCTTACCATGTCTGGACTTGGTAAGTTTCCCCGTGTTGAGTCAAATTAAGCCGCAGGCTCCACTCCTGGTAGTGCCTTTCCATCAATTCCTTTAAGTTTCAGCCTTGCGACCATACTCCACCCAGAACCCAAAAACTTTGATTTCTCATGAGGTGCCAATGGAGTCCTAAAAGTAACATCTACTGATCCCTGGTCGCCATCGTTTATGGTTGAGACTAGGACGGTATCTGATCGTCTTCGAGCCCCTAACTTTCGTTCTTGATTAATGAAAACATCCTTGGCAAATGCTTTCGCAGTTGTTCATCTTTCATAAATCCAAGAATTTCACCTCTGACTATGAAATACGAATGCCCCTAACTATCCCTATTAATCAGTACTCCGATCTCGAAGGCCAACGTAATAGGATCGAAATCCTATGATGTTATCCCATGCTAATGTATCCAGAGCATAGGCTTGTTTTGAGCACTCTAATTTCTTCAAAGTAACAGCGTTGGAGGCATGACCCGGCCAATTAAGACCAGGAGCGCATCACTGGCAGTAGGGACAAGACGACCGGTGCACACTTGAGGCGAACCGGTCGACCCAATCCAAAATCCAACTACGAGCTTTTTAACCGTAACAACTTAAATATATGCTATTGGAGCTGGAATTACCGCGGTTACTGGTACCAGACTTGCCCTCCAATGGATCCTCGTTAAGGGATTTAGATTGTACTCACTCCAATTACCAGACTCAAAGAGCTCGGTATTGTTATTTATTGTCACTACCTCCCCATGTCAAGATTAGGTAATTTGTGCGCATGTTGCCTTCATTGGATGTGGTAGCTGTTTCTCAGGCTCCCTCTCCAGAATCGAACCCTAATTCTCCGTCACCCGCTACCACCATAGTAGGCCATTATCCTACTATCGAAAGTTGATAGGGTAGAAATTTGAATGATGCGTCATCGGCACAAAGGCTGTGCGATCCGTCAAGTTATCATGAATCATTAGAGCAACGGGCATAGCCTGCGTCGACCTTTTATCTAATAAATGCATCCCTTTGAAAGCCAGGGTTTGTTGTACGTATTTGTTCTAGAATTACTACGGTTATCCGAGTAGCAAATACTATAACTAATTTAATGAGCCATTTGTAGTTTCACAGTCCGAATTAGTTCATACTTACATATGCATGGCTTAATCTTTGAGACAAGCATATGACTACTGGCAAGATCAACCAGGTAGCATTTCCTTTTACCATGCCAGCACTGTATAAGCTCGACTGATAGAGTTGGCACGGTTATAGCCCGCAACAAGCAACAAACGCTTGGCAGGGAAATGAAGGTCGAAGACCACGTGTATCCGCACAAGGCTCTGAATTCTAGAGCACGAGTATAACTGCCTGCGAGCCATGCTACCGACACAATAACATAAGGACAGCATGGAACACAAGAGATACTTTGGGGTTCACCCACCGCCACGAGGTGGCGAGACGAATATAGACCCATGATTCAGACTGAATTCCTTTTCGATAGGTAGGCAACACAAGAACCCATGAGAGGCAGAAGGCAAAATTTGCCCTTCAAGCATGAATGAAGAGGAATGCACTAGAGGAGTTCGCTGCATAGACAGGGATCCATCCAACTCGCACAAACCAATCACAACTCACGCGCTACAATGTACACTATGCACCAGCCCTCCAAAACGAATCACACCCAGAAGGATTAAGAAGCCCAATGAACGCGCCAAAACATTTAGAGAAGCCGAGCAAGCATCGGTTAGTGCAACTGCAAATAACGAAGGCAACATGCAACTTCTGAAGGACACACTTTTTGCAACAAGCTTCCACTAGGAAAGCATAGACAACTCGTTCATAAGTCAAAGCCAACCAAATGGAAATTACATGAGGGATATGCTTTTCACAAGGCAGCTTCCACTAGGGAAGCGCAGGAAACTTGTAGGCAAGTCAAAGCCAACCTAATGGCAATTTCCCGAGGACATAACTTTTCGCAAGGAGCTTCCACTAGGAAAACGCAGGCAATTTGTAGGCAAGTCAGAGCCAAACTAATGGCAATTAATAGAGGGACATAACTTTTCGCAAGGAGCTTTTACTAGGAAAGCGTAGGTAACTTGTAGGAATCTCACGGATGATAAAGAGGAATGCACCAGTGGAGTTCGCTGCACAACCAGGGATCCATCCAACTCGCACAAACCAATCACAACTCACGCGCCACGACGTACACTATGCACCAACCCCCCAAAATGAATCACATCACGAAGGACTAAGAAGCCCGATGAATAAGTGAAAACATTTAAAGAAGCTGAGCAAGCAACGGTTAGCTCGGCTGCAAATAACAAAGGCTACAAGCGACTTCTGAGAGATATAATTTTCGTAACAAGCTTCCACTAGGAAATCATAGGCAACTTGTACCTAAGTCAAAGCCAACCTAATGGCAATTCCCCGAGGGACATGCTTTTTGCAAGGCAACTTGTACCTAAGTCAAATCCAACCTAATGGCAATTACCAGAGGGACATGCTTTTTGCAAGGCAACTTCTGCAAGGGAAGGGCAGGCAACATGTAGGCAAAAGTCAAAGCCTAATGGCAATTACCCGAGGGACATACTTTTCAAAAGGAGCAGGGCAAGCCAGGCTGCTAAGGCTGCCTGCAGGCTGGGCTGGCATGCTGACAAGGCCGCAAGTAGGCCAGGTTGCAAAGGCCGCTTGCGGGCCAGGCTGCCAAGGCCGCACGCATGCGATATTGCCATGTGTAGCTTGCTTTTCGTGCTCCTTTTGGATACGACTAGCTCTACAGTTCGAACTCCCGTGGTTCTAAATCTAATTTCACAAGTGCAATGTGAAATAGTGAAAACACAAAAAGAGTCCAAATCCGGCAATTCTTTTTGAAAAATTGACGTTTGAATCAAATGTTAAAAATGGATTGCTTTACCAGATTTCAGAGTCGCCACCTAAATAGTTTTGGAAAATTTAGGAAACTTGAGACTTGTGCCAAAGGCCACTTTATCCGTCATTACTAAAGTGTCTCGGCTCAAAAACTTAGATACGAGAGGGGAAGGTTATGAATTAAGCACCCCACTCGCCCGATCAAAGATCGGCCTCTACTAATCATGATATGATTTTTATTTACATTATATGCTCCTGTTCCGATTTGTTAGCTAACATTAGTGCGTGATGCATACAAGTATAGACTAATTTGCAAAAGTTGGAACACTTTGATTTCATGTTTGTTTGGAAATTGTTTTTGATACTCGTCACTTGAAAAGGTGAGTTCGTATGCACATTATAAAATTTATCCCAATTTTAGCAATTAGCCTTCATCCATAGGCCTTCAAAGAGTTATATCAGTTAAGTAATTAGCCTCATGGTATTATGCTTGGCATGGCAACAATCACACTTATGCGAGATGCTAAAACAATAAGTGCTCACCTAGTACTCCAAGGTAAGCCATATAAAGCAAAATGACTTGAAAACATGCATGCTTCTACCTTATGCAAAATGACTAATGTGACACATACAATCATGCAATTTACATAGGCTCGGCTACTAGCATGGTATATGATTCCATTCAAGACATGTGATAAATCACGTATTCAAACAATGGAGTTGAAATTGACATTGGTTAGTATGACGAGCCGAACCCAAATGCATGCGAGACGAGTGTATGCTAAAATGGGAATGCTAAGTAAATGTGATGCTCTATGCTACCATTATAAGCGGGTAAATAAAATGGAGAAAGAAATTGGTGTTAGAAGACATACATGTTATTACATATTTTGCCCTTATGCAGGAGGGTACGAATAAGTGTCCAAATGTCCGAAATAAACTAATTATTACAAATTAGAATTAATGAATTTAAAACTAGCTAAGTTATTACAACAAGGATATTAGAATGGGCAATAAACTAGCAGTCTAAGTTAGCTAGTTTTAAAATTACAAATAAAAAATAATAATAACTACAACAATAATAATTGCCACAAAGCTAATAAGAAATTTAATCTAAGAAACCATGAGACACAATGATCGCATGCATAGTGCCCAGAAGTTGCTCTGTCTGTCCAGATTGCTCTGCCTCACCTTCAACCACTACCTTTGGTTTCTGCCATCAATCTTTGTTTTACCAAACATTGGGAGCTGGCCGGCTCCAAATGAGATCCGGCCGGGCCAAAAAAGTGCCGGCCGGCGCTAAATTTTATTCC